GATAAACGTCTGGGTATAAATCACTATCCACTGGATAGCGCAGTTGGTTTCCCTAATACTTATCGGCTGGATAGTGATTTAACCACTGGATTGTGTTATCCAACGGAGTAGTAACACATACGAATATAGCTAAATCTAAAAGCGGAGCTTTAAATAAAACTACGCATTGCATGCATGCCTTTGAAAAGCTAAAGTGTTTCTTCATATCTTTTAAATTCAAAAAATAATGCTCCAAGTTTGTCATTCAAGACTATGTTTAGGCACTGAAACTGTTTCCTGTCCCAGTCTGTTGCAAAGATGGAAAAGGATTGAAACTTGAGAAAATTGGGTTGACGTTTTCGAGTTTTAATACTTTGCCTGCCAAAATTCAAGCAATTTGGTGTGAAAACATCGAGAAAACACAAAGTTTCTGTGTAAAGAAACAATCGACAGTCGCCACCACTGCATCCGAATGAGAAACTCAACAGACTTATACTGAGCTTAATGTAGAGAGCCCAACCAGGTCAAAGCTAACTTCGCCCCAAGGGCTTTTCCTCTAGAGAATAGGAAAAGCCCTGAAGACAAGGTTAGATGAAAACAACCAGGGACCTTCAACGAAGTTGCGTTAGTCCAGGTAAAAAAAAAAACAAAAAGCACACAGAGACAGGACCCATCCGGGGGTCCTTAGATCTCGAAGACTGAGCCCCCAGAGCTCCTCAGAGCTTGCTCACAGAATACCCAGAGTGAAGCTATGTTTATTATAATCACTCTTTGCCAAAGGGTGGCACAGAAGACTATCCCGATAATGTGAAGACCAATTTTCAAGATTTGCGTGGAGCAGCTTTTCTCCGTACCAAAAACCGCACTGAAATCACCGTCCTAATGTGTGAACAGAATCCCTATCCAATCTAGTTTTTGTGCCGCTGCAAGAGCTGTACGGTACTAGTGTAGACCACCACAGCCTAAACTGACTCAGGCGGTAATCAGTCTTTTTTGTACGTGCTCACCGCAAGACATTAAAGACCTTTAGATTCTAGGACGAGTACGACTACGAGGTCGAGATTTCCTCAATACTAAGTAGTGCGCGGGAGTGAACCAGCGTCGTTTTGGCGGGAAAACTTGGTTCCCGTCGTCATTCTACTACGAGTTTTAGCGAGAATGTCGTAATGGCGGAAACGAGTTATCAAATGTTAGAATTTTTATCACTTTGCGATTGAGAGAAGGCCTAACTCCCCTCAATATAGATAACAGTGCTATCTTTTCTAATTAAATTAAACACACACACAATGAAGCTTTCCGGGGTGTCTATATTTTGAGAATACGCGAAAAAGCTTTAAGTTAAATCTCGTACTCGTAGTCGTTCTTTTCCTCGAATCTAAAGGACTCTATTGTGACAAGTACATTTTTTTATTCCATAGTTCAGGTCTTGATAATAAAATAATTTACTTAGGAAACTCTACAGTAATTAGAGACAAACGGGAGGGGGGAAAACAGAAATCAAAACGAGGGGAAATGTACTGCTTATGACGTCATCGGTTTCGAGTGGAATGTTCCCGATAACAATGTAATGTGTTCCGACAGCCCGTCCTTGAGACATATGCTATCTGTCATTTTTTATACAAGCGGTACCTTTATGAATTTATATCATTAGATACTAAAATGTGGTGCAAAAGCGGGTATATATTTTCTGCAACAACCTTTCCTTGACGGAGCGTCATGATTTGGAGAAGGTGGTTTTCGGTAGTTCGTTTCACATTTACAAGTAAGTTGGTGATATTTTTTTCAATGATTTTAAGACATTTGCACGTTACGTTTTAAGACTCTATCTTGATTTTCAATGGCTTGTAATTAAATACAGCCTATATCAAAGACAATGGATTTTATTTAGAACTATGGCTTTTTAAAAGACGATTTTTCTAACGCTAGTTAGCAAAAGCTAATCGATGCTAGACGTCTTTAAAATAAGGTTTGAAAAAAGTGTTTGGATTTGGTATTTGAATACAATTTTTAAGCTTTTATACAGTAACGAAAAGTACGTTTATTTTTACACTGATTGTAGCGGATGGAAAGGAATTTGTACAAAGGTGTTTAATGAAAAAGCCTTGACGCAAAATTGAAGAAAATTTGATTCTATTTGTGGACAGCTCGTGCTATTTGCGGAAGCAATATCCCTCCCTTCGATAATCACCTGCCACAACCAGAGCTAAACGAAAGTAAAAATTAAATCTTTATCACAAAGCAAAAAGGAAGATCACAAAGGAAGTTTTGACTAAAAAATTCTGATCAGTTTGAAATCCCTTTCGCCAATACCGCCACTGTCCAAGCTCCGACAGCTGAAAAGTAAGAATGTCGCACACAATCGCTAGAATACTGTGCAGTAAAACAAATCCTTTGACTTTTGTTTGCTGTGAGTTTAAGTCTTGTGGCAAAATTTTGATTGGCTGTGTTAGGTGGAAATAATTAGGCACTATGCACATGTTATTGGGGATTTATCTAGATGTTTCAAAACTAAGAAACCAACTCTACTCGTGCCGCAGAATAGATAATAGCTTAGATAATAGCTTAAGGACAACTCGAAATTTCAACAGACGACTATCCCGGCTATGAGGCCAATATTCTTCTTCCCGATATTCTTATGTCTTTTGAAAAGACTATAAAGAAACATATACACCTGGCTTTAAAAAGGAGCAATATTACAAAGGTTGAATATCGTAAAAAAGCCGGAACGGTATTCTCGTCCGATTGTCTGCGATGTGGAAAACAAAACGTCATTATTGTACAGTAAGAATGGTTTCTGTTTCATGTGTTTTAAACTTTTGCTTTAACTCCAAAGACAATTACACAATGTTGTTAACGAGTTTCGAGGTTTTCCGGTGTTCAATTGCACGGCCACGATACAAAGATTTTGCATTGAAATACAGTTTTTTTAATTTACTGAGCGGAGACATTTAAATGATTTCTAAAAACAATTTCACCTGCACACGAAAAACAAATTTTGCATTTTATCACTTAAAGTCGCTTCGCGTATTTAATGTCTTCCTGTAAAGCTATCGTAAAAACTCAGCTATTGATAAAATTGAAATCTTTTTTCTAAATGCAACGTTGAAGAATTTTCAACCAATTGAAGTTTTAATAAAGCCGTGAATATTTCATCATCAGTGAGTTTCACTGTCCTACCATCCGGACACCTATTACGGTTATTACGACTTTCAGGAAATTGCACGAGACCCGGCATAATCCTAGAGAATGTGATGTTGTTATTATTGTCCGAAATTCCCTTGTTTTATTAATAACAAACGCAAGTTAGAAATTGCTTTTGACGGGAAATGGCTTCGGCAGGCGCATCTTGAGTCGATCGTTCATGACGGGAGTCTGAATTTGTATCCCAGATATAAATCGCCAGTTATCTTCAAGTGAAATGTATGTTGTACTTTAGCTAAAATGAACAAAACGAAAGACAAATACATTATGGGACAAGTTGACTATAGAAATTCAAGAAGTTTTAAATAAATGTAATTTCCACCCTGGCTCCAGATGTCCATTCTCACCACGAAGGGTAAGAAAATCCTTCATTTCGGTCTTTAAAAAGGCCTAGAATGACTAACAAAAGGATTTTATAGCTGTGTAGAAGTCGACGAAACGTCCTGGTTTTTTCATTTATTTAGACAGTGCATTCAAGTCAGTTACTGTAAAAAGGATGCAAATCACTGAATTAGGGTTATGAAAGGGGAACCACTTGTTTTGTGAATTTATATCAGTGCATTTACATCAGTTAAAAGGGATGCAAAGTCAGTATAAACTATGTATGTGAAAGGGGTACCATTTGCCAATAGGCCACTTCCGAGTTCCAAAACCCATCACTTTCAAAATGAGGCCAAGTGCACAACCTTTCTTGTGAAAATGAGTTTTATTTGCATGAGAATGAAAATTTATTTTCATATCAAAGGTTGAGCACTTAACCTTGTTTTGAGATAGAGGCCTGGGCAACTCAGAAATGGCATATTGGTAAAAGGGTAAGTGAATCTGTCATTTGGGACTGTAATCATATGAAGAGATCTAATAACGCTTACAGACACATCTTATGAGCGCGAATTGCGAAAAAGCCAAGACCACAACCTGGTTTAGTGATTTGTTCATATTTAAAGTACGATACATTTACAGCGTTAAAAGAGATGCAGCGTTCTGAACAGATTTCTGAAAGGGTTTTAAATGGAAGGTATATGAAAGAGTGGCCTTTTCTGTCAACGGATATGTGAAGGTGTTAGATCGTCTCTGGGCGGAGCGCCCACGCACCCTCGTATAAAACTTTGTTGAGTGCCCCCCGGCATAGCCTCCCACGCAGACGTTCTTACGGGATCGTCAGGTGTTCCTACCCCGCAAACGCCTGCTGAATCAAGCGGTTTGTGGGGCAGTTTGTCAGTTATAGATTTTACGCATTTTTATACAAACTCGACGTTTCTTGGGCGAGTCAACATACAATTCCAAGAGTGAAAATTACTATTCTTTGACATCTACTCATGTATAAAAAATGAATAAGGGGTCTCCAAACTAGTCTGCGAACAGCAGACATTTCCCCTCGCTCATCGTTTTTGAGAGACGTTTCGCGAGGAGGAACGTCGTTCCTCCTCGCGAAACGTCCCTTAGCGGCGATGAGTAAGGAGAAACGTTTGCCTTTCGCAGGCTATCTCCAGACTAGACCTGAAGCGAAACAACCTCAACCGGAATGTAAGATAAGCTATTGCTAAATGGTAGAGCGTTGACATAAAAAGCTGGCTGCATTTCTTGAATAAACCATGTTTCTTTGATTTTGCACTGACAATCAGTTTTGCTCGGGCGGGAATGATCCCTCGTGATATCATTGAGATTGTTTTTCGCCACGTTTGTGTGAAAATGCGTAAGTTGATGACGTCACAGCTATTTGCGTTATTTCTGATAAGCTACAATAGCCCAGGAACAAAACTCTGAAGGCCCTGTTACGCGAATATATACTCTTTTCCTTATTTGCCTATTTTTCATTTTCGATTTGTACTTCTGTTTTTCTTCTTTTTTTTTCAGTTGTTTCACTGTCTTGGCGCGCTTTTTCAATCCAGTGTAAAATGGGATGGCAAGAATGGAACCAGGCGTGCTACAACTTAACCAAAGATTTTACACCATTCTCCAACGCCTCCTCCATTTGTAGGCAGAGTGGCGCTGAATTGGTGTCCATTGCAAGTCTCCAAGAAAACGAATTCGTCCACAATATATCCGAAGGAGAGGACGTTTTCATTGGTCTCCGTGCTGCAAATGCCAATGACAGCTTTGTCTGGTCGGATGGCAGCACTTTTGATTACAGTAGGTGGGAAGACGGAGAACCTAACGGCGATTGTGGAGTAGACGGCTGTTGCGTTAGCCTCGTGGAACCTACCGGCAGGTGGAATGACACACCATGTGAGATGTGGCATCCGTTTGTGTGTAAATTCACAAGCTCGCAACCAAAACTGCGGCCAGGTAATTGCCTAGTTTTTAGCCTAGGGGGGACGTGTCCGTGTGTTATGGGATTATCATCATTAGATACAAATAGTCAGGAACAGCGCATCAAGCTTTGACAAATAAAATCCCCGAACGTGGTGTTAATCGGGCCAATATTGAAGAAGATAGGGCCATTTTAGAACATGAAAATTTACAAAGAAATGTATGGATTGCTGGAGTCCCATATTTGGAGATGTTGGATGGGTGTATGTATATCTCGGTCATTATTAGCCCCATGAACAACCGTGCTTGAGGATTTTATACGTGGCTCACTGGTTAATAGACTACTAAAGTGTGATGTCATAAAAAATTAAATTTGTGGAATTGCGGGATTTGTCAGAATATTCTCAAAGAACATAATCCAAGAGGCCTACTTGCCAAAACCTAGCATTGTGGGGCAAATTGTCTCTGAGATATTAGCCAAGTTATGCTCTGATGACTCCATACAAATCCTTCTAAATTTGACATAGGTCTTAACTTTTAGACCCAAGTCAATTTTAGAAGGATTTTTATGGAGTCATCAGAGCATAACTGGGCTAATATCTGACTAATATCTCAGTGCAGGAGCGCTAATTTTTGGCAAGTAGGCGTCTTGGACGTTGTTCTTTCAGAATATCTTGACAAATCTCACAATTTCACAAATTTAATTTTTATAACGTCATCACTTTAGAACACTATAGCGGAGCTCCACGCGCGAGCGTAGCCCCACACCCAAGAAAATGTGGTAATCTACCCATCCGAGAAATTTTGGTAATCACATGACCGTAAGCCCGTCCGTCCGTCCGCACCACAGGTATACCAATGTAAAATAACTCATTGAACAGGTATGGCAAACCAAATGAAACTCGAGGTTATTTTCGCGGGAGATCGCGTAGCCACCTGCGTCTTGTGAAGCAGAGACAACTAAAGAGTCAATAAAGACGAAAACGGAAAGCGTAAATTGTTTCTGTATCCCTGTTGTTTAAAGTGTTAAGCTTACTAAGATCATTTGTCACGTCCACATATTTGGAATATAGAAAAAGAGAAAGTAGGCGACAAGCTAGGGAAGCTCAACGAGGGAAAGAGCGGAAGGGAGCTAGGGTGAGAGATAAATAACAAAGGAAACATTTTCTGTTGGAAGAACAACATGAAAATTTTGTAGCGGCGGTGAGAAAATGAGAAATGGTGGCGGCTTAAAGGTGAAAATGAGCGGCAGTGAAAAAAATAGTGAATAAGAACACGTACGACATTTCCTCTATAAACGTGTAAGTAGGAAGTTTCTGGAAGTTTTACGTTGTAGTCGTGCAAAACAACCAAAAAAGTGTGCTGTACGTGTAAAGTCACTTTTTTGCTAAGTTTACCTGCTGTTCTTTTTTCACCGTTCTCGTTGCCTTCTCCGCTAAGCATTACACGATTTTATATTATAGAGAGCTTCGCTTTTAGCCCTGGCTAAATCTATATATTTAGCCTGCGTAGCAAGCGTTTCCTCGCGAGCTCGTCGAGAAAGTTGGGACGAGAGCAAAAAAAAAGGAAAGGACGGGGGAGGGGGAGGGGAATGAAGGAACCTCTTCTCCCCTACCCCTCCCCCTTCCACTTTTTTTTTTTTGCTCCTGCTCTGGAAACGCTTGCTACGCAGGCTACTATATATTAAGACGGAATCCACCAGGAAATTGAGCTAAAGATGTGATAAATCATCTGAGTAACCCCAAAGAAAATTGGAAGTCCAAGAACATGAATATCAAATTTCACAAGAATTATGATTACACAGGAAAAATTCTGAAAATTCCATGTGTAAGATTTGATTTTTGTGAAATTTGACATTCATTTTCTCGGGCTCCCATGCGAAATTTTTTTGTGTACCACAGATAATTTATTACATTTTTAGCCCTTGAAAAATGTAACAAAGAATGCAATGTGCTTTAAATTATTGTGGTACAAGACTTTTATCAACTGAAAATCAAAATTACTCAATGTCCTGGTGGATTCCGTCTTAATCCCATAATATACAGACTTGCACCCAGTTCCCCTCGGTTTGAAAGCAGGCTAAAGGTTAAGTAACGTCGACCGCGATGTCTATCGTTTCCAATCGAGGTATTGAGCGGAAGTCGGAGTGAGAGTAAAGGAAATGGATGATCGTCCCAACTTTCTCGACCAACTCGCCCCCTTCCCCTTCTCCTTAGCAGTCTTCGGACATCTTCGGCAACCTTCGGACATCTCGGTAGTCTTCGTAATTCTTGGGTAGTTATCAGGAAATCTTTGGTAGTCTTCGGAAATTTTCTGAAATATTCGGGAATTGTCGCAAAATGGCCGAAAGGTCCTTGATATGCCTAAAATAATATAGGCTTTTTGGGGGCAGTTTTTGTTTCTTTCTGAAAAAAAATTTACTGTTTCATATTACAGAGCCAAAAAATTAAGTATTTAGTGTTATCGAAGTATCCTCATTCAGACCGTCATGCATGACGCATTGATGAGTCGACAGCAAGAAACTGTACCTATCTTTTTAATGATAACTAATCTGAAAGAAATAAAATAAATTTTAAAAAAATCAAATAGTAATAATAATGATAATCAGACCGATTGTGGGATCAGTTTTCAACAGCGTTTATTTCTCTAGGAATTTCATAACTTGCTTTTTTTTCTTTCTTTTTTCTTTTCTTCTTCTTCTTCTTCTTTGCTTCCTAAGGCATCCTTTTATACACGGATCAAATTGTTTCTATTACGATTAACTCGAGTTGTAATTACTGTTCAAAATCACAGAACTAAGATGGCGGATGGTTCCAAATCCTTCTTATTTAAGAATATGTGACATCATCATGACATAACGGCCACCAGAGTAAAATAATATTGATGTGTTAGCAAACGTTGAGATTTTATCAGACACCTTACTAATATACTAGTCAGTTTGGGTCTTTTTTCGCTTTAAGGCTACTTTACTTTAATTAAGGGGAAAACTTGATAAAAGTGAACTTAATTATGTCATTTTGTCAATCAAAATATACCAGGCTGTTGGAAAAAATTAGTACATTATCCTGTGTAATTTTGTTGGTTGTATGAGTGGTTTTAAAGTTATAGAGAAGGGGCCTCCGAAAAGCCCCCGGACCCACCCCACCTCCTTCCATCATGGTTTCAGGAAGCAAACAAGCCCGAAAGAAAAAGAGGCGGGATGGATTGGTATTGGAGGTGGAGTTATTTCACAACCCAACTTTAAAAAGCCTTTCTGTTTCCTTTTCAGACAAAAATGCACTGAAAAAAGAACAGAACTTCATCATACACGAGCAGAAAAGTCTGGCACATCACGTGATCTACAAACAATCCTTGTCGTCTTTAATTCACTGTGCGCTGATGTGCACCAACTCGCCATTTTGTAAATCGGTCAACTTCATATCAGAGCAAGGAGGAAATTTTGGCGAATGTCAACTCAATGACGCTACAGCAGAAGACTTTCCATTCCATCTGATGCGAGTTTCTAACTCAGTGTATTCTGTTGTGTATAGCTCATGAGATAGAATAATGCTACTCGTGCAGCATTGTCTGCAAGGCAGGCGTCGGAAAGGGGGGGGAGTGGGTGAGGGGAGAAGGGAATGGGAGGGAACGGGAGAGCTGAAGAGGGAACTGATGGGGGAGAAAGAGAGGGAAAGGCTCCCGCTCCCTTTTCCCATTCGCGCTTTTCTCCACTTGCCTTCCCCTTTTTGCGCTTCTCGCCCGGGCTATTCCACCTGGACCTAAAAACGTTAGCATTGTACTATGTTAAAGATGATTCCGTCTTAATCCCATAATATACAGACTTGCACCCAGTTCCCTCGGTTTGAAAGCAGGCTAAAGGTTAAGTAACGTCGACCGCGATGTCTATCGTTTCCAATCGAGGTATTGAGCGGAAGTCGGAGTGAGAGTAAAGGAAATGGATGATCGTCCCAACTTTCTCGACCAACTCGCCCCCTTCCCCTTCTCCTTAGCAGTCTTCGGACATCTTCGGCAACCTTCGGACATCTCGGTAGTCTTCGTAATTCTTGGGTAGTTTTCACGAATCTTTGGTAGTCTTCGGAAATTTTCTGAAATATTCGGGAATTGTCGCAAAATGGCCGAAAGGTCCTTGATATGCCTACCTTCCCCTTTTTGCGCTTCTCGCCCGGGCTATTCCACCTGGACCTAAAAACGTTAGCATTGTACTATGTTAAAGATGAAGCCAGTTAATACGGACAGTAAGGGGACTTCCCTCTTTGTCCGTATTAGCCAGGTTTCCGTATTAAGGGTGCTCTCAGGAAAACACATGTTTTATCGATGCCAAGACGAAAGCAGACGAGAAAACGTTTAATTTCTAACCCTGTAATTGTAATAAGTTCATTCTCAAGAAACCTCAAAGTCTTTTATTGATAGTCTCGGACTAAAACCTCCCCAAACCATTAGACTACAAAATAGTCTGTATTTTTGCGTATTCAAGTACGCGCGAACAGTCAAACAAAAGGTCTGGAACGAGGCCGAAAACAGAGAGCGAGACTGGAGAGAGACTCGCGTGCTTCGGGCTATTCTTTAGCGTTATGTTAAACCAATTTGCCTTAAAGTGACTAACCATATACCGATGCGGTTCTGATGGGAGCCGGGAGCGAGGTACTTCCGGGGGGGTTGGTACGGAGAAACTCCCCCTGGCTCTGACCCTTGTCCATTTACATACCATTTTTAACATAACATGTATACCTTTTTCGTAAACCTATTGACAACAGGTACCCCATTCACATACCTTGTTTAGAACTTTACTTCCCCTTTTAACTGCTGTAAATGCACTGTCTTTTCAATACGAATAAATCACAAAACCAGAGCGTTTTTACGACTCTTTGACAGCCATAAAATGCATCTGTTAGCCCTTTTGGGTCTTTTTTTCTGTCAAAAAGCGTATAGCAAAGGGTAAGGGGGTGGCCACGGGGCAAAGTATCATTCGCATCGTATAACACTTTGAGGAGTACCTCCGGTCCGAATTTGGTAGGGTTATGAACCGTATTGGACTCCTCCTCTGTATCGGCGCACTTGAAGGCATGGTAAGTCAGTGTTGCAATAAAGCCTACAATTTTTTTTTGCAAACCTATATTCTGCGTTTTTTGTTCAAGTCATTTCATGTCCACAGTTCGAAAAATATAAACACTGTTTGTTCCATGGTTTTCTGCATGCGGAAAAAATCATGAGCAGTCACGCAAATGAGGAAAAGAGACACAAAAGAGTTTAGAATTTAAATAGTCGACACTCTTTGCCAGAGTCTCTTTGCCAAAACTTTCCTAAGCTTCTGGCTCTTCCTCGTTACAAACAGCATTATGAAGATCCCGTTCGAAGTGCAGTTCACACGATACTGGACGAATTTTCACTTTTTCGTTTACCGCTACACTGCATGTTAGAGCCGATTTTCGTATGAACTTGAAATGAAAATGCGCGAACAAAACAGAAACAACAAACGAACGGAAATAGAGCGATTTCATTGGTTTGTCGAACGGATACAAACGCGCGTGGCCTATGGTTGGTTAAGCGAGCGCTCCGGTGAAAAAATTTCATGCCCGAGAACTTTCTAGAAATCGATACTTCGCTTTGACTTTATACTGCAACACGAATGGCCAATCGAACAATGCTTTCTCCATATTAGGGTTTTCTTTGGCGGGAAAACGCAGAGTCCCTGTTTTGACCTTTTCATCTATTGGCTGATAAACCGACGAGCACTTACCGAAACCATTTTTCAAGGTCATAGAAAAGTCGCTCTATCAAAAAGGAATAACAAGTATATGTATATGTGTATGTGTATATAGTCTCAAAGTCTTAGCTATCTAGTGGCATACCACCATTAAAGCAACTTGAAGCGAGTATCCCCTAGAACGATTCTCCAAGTCAGATTTAACCATTTCAGATAGATAGATAGATAATCTTTATTTATCCACGGTACAAAATTCGTCAGCTTTAAAAATGCCTAATACTAATATAATAGAAAATATTTAAATAAAAAAGCTGCTTTCCACGAATGCCGTGCCTTACAGTTCTTTGAGAAAACCTTTAAATTGCCCAAGGGACTCTGCTTCCCTTAAGTTACAAGGAAGACTGCTCCAGAGAATGGCGCCACTATAGCTGAAGCTGTTTTTGTAATAGTTTGTGCGCGGTAGTGGAACATTGAGTTTATTTTCAGAGTCCCTTAGGTTATATGCGTTTTCTCGCCTTTCAAATTTAGAACTAAGATAGTTTGGAGCCAAGCCGTGCAGAGACCTGTAAACCATCGTAGCTCTTTGAATTTGTTGCTGGCAAGCTAGGTTTTTCCACCCCAAAAGTTTGAAAAGGTGACCAGCATCTACGTCATAGCTTGAGTAGGTCAAAACACGGGCTGCTCTGTTTTGTAGCTTTTGAACCTTATTCTGTAAGGTTATCCCACAGTTTCCCCAAACAATGTTGCAATAATCAAAGTGTGGCTGTATTAAAGCTTGATATATTAATTGTAAGGTCGCCTGAGGGACAAGGTGCCTTATTCGTTTTATGGCCCCAATACCAGAAGCGACTTTCTTTGTTACTTTCTCGATATGGCCACTCCAATCAAGTCTGTCATCGATGGTCACTCCAAGTGATTTTGCAGNGAGCGAGGTACTTCCGGGGGGGTTGGTACGGAGAAACTCCCCCTGGCTCCGACCCTTGTCCTTTTACATACCATTTTTAACATAACATGTATACCTTTTTCGTAAACCTTCTATTGACAACAGGTACCCCATTCACATACCTTGTTTAGAACTTTACTTCCCCTTTTAACTGCTGTAAATGCACTGTCTTTTCAATACGAATAAATCACAAAACCAGAGCGTTTTTACGACTCTTTGACAGCCATAAAATGCATCTGTTAGCCCTTTTGGGTCTTTTTTTCTGTCAAAAAGCGTATAGCAAAGGGTAAGGGGGTGGCCACGGGGCAAAGTATCATTCGCATCGTATAACACTTTGAGGAGTACCTCCGGTCCGAATTTGGTAGGGTTATGAACCGTATTGGACTCCTCCGAGTCCTCTGTATCGGCGCACTTGAAGGCATGGTAAGTCAGTGTTGCAATAAAGCCTACAATATTTGTTTGCAAACCTATATTCAGCTTTTTTTGTTCAAGTCATTTCATGTCCACAGTTCGAAAAATATAAACACTGTTTGTTCCATGGTTTTCTGCTTGCGAAAAAAATCATGAGCGGTCACGCAAAAGAGGAAAAGAGACACAAAAGAGTTTAGAATTTAAATAGTCGACACTCTTTGCCAGAGTCTCTTTGCCAAAACTTTCCTAAGCTTCTGGCTCTTCCTCGTTACAAACAGCATTATGAAGACCCCGTTCGAAGTGCAGTTCACACGATACTGGACGAATTTTCACTTTTTCGTTTACCTCTACACTGCATGTTAGAGCCGATTTTCGTATGAACTTGAAATGAAAATGCGCGAACAAAACAGAAACAACAAACGAACGGAAAAAGAGCGATTTCATTGTTTTGTCGAACGGATACAAACGCGCGTGGCCTATGGTTGGTTAAGCGAGCGCTCCGGTGAAAAAATTTCATGCCCGAGAACACGAATGGCCAATTGAACAATGCTTTCTCCATGCATATTAGGGTTTTCTTTGGAGGGAAAACGAGGAGTCCATGTTTTGACCTTTTCATCTATTGGCTGATAAACCGACGAGCACTTACCGAAACCATTTTTCAAGGTCATAGAAAAGTCGCTCTATCAAAAAGGAATAACAAGTATATGTTTATGTGTATGTGTATATAGTCTCAAAGTCTTAGCTATCAAGTGGCATACCACCATTAAAGCAACTTTAAGCGAGTATCCCCCAGAACGATTCGCCAAGTCAGATTTAACCATTTCATATATACTGTTAGGACGAAAGCTTTTTCCCAGGCAGGGAAAACCGGAAATCACTTGTCTAAAATCCTCAACCTCGTCCCCAGGGCTTTTCCCTTAAAAAATGGGTGACAAGTGATTTCCGGGAACGAGGTTGTAAAATCCTGGATTCCTTGTGGCTGGTTCACGTCAGTATAATTTTCTGATTGATTGTTACAGTCGAATTCGCCATGTGCGATAACCCGCTCGTAAGCGACTACCTCCCATAAATAGCCTGTTCCAGCCTCTCAGATAGTAGGGATGCAGATGACGCTTCCTTGAAGGCGTGCGAAAATATAAGTACGTGATCTGGGGAAAGGGGGCGGTGGCGGGAAAAAAGAAGAGAAAGAAAAGGGCCCTTCCTCTCCCCAGTTTCCTCCCGTTTTGCTTTCGCGTTCGCGCTTTCTCAATTTGGCGTACGCGAATATCTTTGGTGGGCCCTAGCCACCCGACCGTCTCGGAGCCGGAACAGGCTACTCATAAGCGAACGCCTATCTAAAATACCAAAATTTTCTAAGTCAAAGCTTTGCAGCGTAGAACCTCTTGTAAACGACCACCTTCTCTAAGCGACCGCGACCAAGTTTTGGGGCTGACAGTTTAATAATTTTCCTTTGTTTTTAACAACAACAACTTTATTTGC